ACAAGATGAAGTGTTTCAAAAGAAGGGTATGTCAAAAATATACTTCAGGGGAATGGCTACAAAGGGGTACAAGGAGACTTTCTGAAGTAATGAAAACATCTGTATCATGACTGAATGGTAGGTTCATAACTGTATACATTTGTCAAAACTCATTAAACGGTACACATAAAATTGTTGATTTTTACTGTGTATTATGTTATACCTCAGTGACTCTGGTTTCTAAGAAGTGTGTATGTCAGGAAAGACAATTTTTTAGAAGGCAAGAGTTCTAAGATGAAAGGATACTAAAGAGGTGTGCCAAGTGGGTGTAACGTATGGTCTTTGACTCGATTCTGTATTCCTCTCCACAAAAAGCTATAAAGAGCATTTTAGGGGCAAATTGGAAATGTGAATATGGACTATATATTAAACTGTAAAGCATCAATGCTAAGCTTTTTTTTTTTTTTAAGTGTGGTCATTTTCTTGTGCTTATGTAGGAGAATACCCCTTTTGTAGCAGATGCATATTCAGGTACTTGGGGGTAAAATAAGAATGTCTGCAATCTAGTCTCACAAGGCTCAGAAGAAAGAACATATGAGTGTGGAGGAGAGACCAGGAGATAAGCAGATGAAGGCAGCGAGTACAAGGCACTCTTTTCAAGAGTGTTTCCCTGAAGGACGGCAGAGAAATAGGACGTGGCATTAACAGTCTCCCCACACCAAAGGTAGTATGAAGACGTTCTGTATGTTGAACCGGTGGAGAAGAGGCTGATGGCTCAGGATAGAAAGGGTATCAGTGTAGAAGCAAAGTCTCTGAAACCGTGAGAGGGGCTGGGACACAGGGTCCAAAAGGAAGGAATCACCTTAGGTGACGTGGATGATGATGGTGACAAAGGGGCACGAGTGTCCACGCTGAAAATGGCCAGGCACTATTTAAAGCATTTTTACTCATTTAATTCTCACATCAACTCTAAAATAAAGGTATTACTAATATCTCCTTTTACAGATGAGGAAGCTGAGGTACAGAAAAACTAAATAACTTGCCCAGTGACACGTATCTAATAAATAGCAAATTGAGCTTTTAGAACCCAACGGAAGAGACTTTTCTCCCAGCACAACAGGGCGGGCAGGGTCTGTGCGCGGCAGAAGGAGCTGCGCTTCTGGCAGCGGAAGATGACGTAGCTCTGACATGAGTACATCTGTTTTCTCAGCGTGGCATTTGGTGAGTTCATCAGCTGAGGGGGTGGGCGGAGGGGATGTTGGGGATTTGAGAAGAGAGGTGAGAAATTCTTGCTTCAGACAGAAGGCAAGTGAAATTACTAGCAATGACTGGCAGTACTGAATGCCCCTCTGGAATTAGTAGTCATAAATTTGCAGTCAATCTACTTGTCCTGACTAGATGGTATTTTCCGGCAATTTTCAGCTGCTTGAGAGCAGGCATAAAGAGGACAGCTGGGTTTAACTAGGGAGGGATTTTTACAGACAAGTGAGACCCAAGAAAAAAAGAAGCCTAACTAAGGGGGGATGCAAGAGAGTGGTGAAAGTATGGGGGGGGGTGGAATCTCGGCTAGATAAGGAGGAATATATGACCATTATGAATGTGATCCATACGGAAAAAGTGGTGGGGTCGGAGGCCTGGAGATTGTGAGGTCAGAGGGTAGTTGGGAGTGTGGGTTTACAGTAAGAGATAAGTAGGAGTGGGATGCTTGGAGAGGGTATTTCAAGAGCAGTGCCATTATTGATGATGAGGAGATCCAGAGTATGACCATGTGGATGGGAGGCTGAGGGGTACAGAATAAAAGACAACAGGATTGGGGCGCCTGGATGGCTCAGCCGGTTGAGTGTCCAACTCTTTATTTTGGCTCAGTTCATGACCTTAGGGTCCTGAGATCGAGCCCCGAGTCTGGCTCCCCACTCAGCAGGGAGTCTGTTTCTCCCTCTGCCCTTCCCCCTGCTTGTGCACGTGCTCTCTCTCTCAAATAAATAATCTTAAAAAAAAAAAAGGAAAAAAAGACAATGGGATCAAAAGAGGCCAGGGTGCTGGATGAATCCTCTGTGAATGCTGAAGTTACACAGAGAGAGAGAAAAAGCAGTGAAGGTGGGACAGAAGACAGTGACAAACCAGAGTAAGGGGAGTAAAGCCCGACATTATATACTTTAAGATGTTGAGGGGGGCTGAAGGGGAAAGATGGCGAGATCATTTGGAAGTTGCAGTGGGGAGCAAGGATATACCCACCCCACCTGTAGGCTCAGAGGCATATAAGGTGAGGAGGCAAAATCAGATTCTAACCCTCAGAGCAAGAAGGTGGAGGGACTGTTCAGAAAGAGACTAAGGATACAGCACAACACTTGGCACGTGGTAGATATTCAACCAGTATTTCTTGCATTTGAATCTTAACTTTTCGAATAGTTTACTATACCCTAAAAAGGAAAAAACTAAATTTATTTATAAAGAAATTAAAACCAGATTAAAAAGGAAATGATCTTCTAATGATTGTATTTTTCAAATCCACGAAAGGCTCATTTTCAAAAATTAGTCCCCTGGCCAAGATCAACAGAGTCAAACAGCATCATATTGTTTTTGGCTTAGTAAATATGGAAAACTCACTGTCATAAAATAAAACCAGGCATTCTCTTGCATAAGAATTCAATATCAGAACAAAATTAAGTGAATTCTGTCTTGTTGAAGCTTAGATAATAGCCTTTCTGAGCATAAGCTGACCAGAACTTAAATCTATTATGGTTCAAGCAGAGAAACCCAGGTCCCTATGAAATAAGAATGATATTTCCTAAACATATTCTTTGGAGTGTAATACAGTACACTTTGGAATATACTGTCCTTCCTGAAGTAGTAGTAGGACCGCTCCGTGAAAGCTTTGGGGGTATGCCCTTACTGAAGAAAGATAAGTTCTTCTCAATGTTAGTTTTTGCTTTTTTTTAATTTGTTCTAAATGTCTTTGTAAGACTAAGAAAATGTCATAATTCTTTTATGCTTTAGCAAAACAAATGTTTTATTTTCTATCTATAAAGCTGCCTCGGGGCGCCTGGGTGGCTCAGTCGGTTGAGTGTCTGATTCTTTATTTTGGCTCAGGTCATGATCTCAGGGTCATGAGATTGAGCCCCACATAGGGCTCTGCGCTCAGTGGGGAGGTCTGCTTGAGATTCTCTCTCTCTCTCTCTCTCTCCCTCTGCCCCTCCCCCTGCACATGTATGCACACACACACACTCTCTCTAAAATAAATAAATAAATCTTAAAAAAATAAAACAAGCTGCCTCCTAAGCATTTCTTTTTTTCTTTTTTTAAGAGAGGGAGGGTGGGGAGGGGCAGAGGGAGATGGAGAGAGAGAATCTTAAGCAGGCTCCACACTAGGCGGGGCTCAATCTTACAACCCTGAGATCATGACCTCCTAAGCATTTTTTTTTTCCTCTTAAGATTTTATTTATTTATTTAATTTTAGAGACAGAACTTGAACAGCAGTGGGGCAAAGGGAGAGAATCTCAAGCAGACTCTGCACTGAGCATGGAGGCCAATGTGGAGCTCGACCCCATGATCTCAGAAGATCATGACCTGAGCGGAAACCAAGAGCCAGCCGCTCAACTGACTGAGCCACGCACGTGCCCCTAGGACCTCTAAGCATTTCTAATAAGCAGTCTGCACACAGCTCAATGAAATTCTATAGTCCTCTATGGTCTTAAAATGTACAATGAATATCTAATACTTTTTCTCTAAGACTAAATTTTACTGGGATTTATCTAGAATCCCAGGTTTTTGTTTTTGTTTTTAACAATTATATTTGGTTGTTTAACTATGATCATCAATCAGAATGCGGACTGGTTCAACTGCAGGTTAGTCCAAAAGGCTCTTCACCTTTTGGCTTATTCGTAAACTATGAGGTTCTTACTACTAGATAAAAAGTGTACTAGTAGTTTCATTATACCAGATAAATGAATTCGGAAGGACAGCCAATCCTCCTAGTGTCATTAGAGCCTAATATGATGTGTCAGAGAAAGCAATCAGTCAACAATATACACTGTGCTCATTTACAGCACACAGCTGGCCCTGGGAGTAAGAGATGCTCTTTTCCATGAAGAACCCAGCTGGAAGCAATCTCTCCTTTACTAAATTTCTTTAGTACTCTGTATATTCCTTATGGGACCTTCTCTTTGGAGTACAGTGATTTCTGGGCTTATTTTTCTTTCTAGATTATAAGCAAGATGCCTTAACATCTTTAGATGGTCTCAAGGTATTACAGCATTATTTGTAATTTATGTAATACCCAGCACTAGTAGGAGAACAAAATGGAATAGTGACACTATCAATACCAAATTCATCAGTATTATGGACTAAATAGCTTGTGATGTTTGGTCTGGGAATCATGTCACTATTTACATAATACAGGTAACTGCTTTGAGTTCCCAAAACCCAACTTTTTTTTTTTTTTTTAAGATTTTTTATTTATTTATTTGACAGAGAGAGAGAGAGAGATCACAAGTAGGCAGATAGGCAGGCAGAGGGAGAAGCAGGCTCCCTGCTGAGCACAGAGCCCGATGTGGGGCTTGATCCCAGGACCCTGGGATCATGACCTGAGCCGAAGGCAGATGCTTAACCATCTGAGCCACCCAGGCGTTCCCCCAAAACCCAACTTACAAATTCACTCTCAGAACCCAGCAGGGAATTCTTACACTGTATGTATAACCAGAAAGGCTACAGTAAGTCTGTAGAGCAGTCAAGATGCTAACCTTTCCGATTTTGTAAATAAGAGAATGAATTTTTTCTCTTAAAAATACAGTAATTTTAAAAGTAACTTTAAATTAAATCTTTTAATTTTTTAAAGTTATTTTTAAAGAGAGTATAGGAATTTAAAAATAATCTTTTGTGAAAAAAGTGGAAAAATGTTTCAAAATTAATGCATGGATATATATCTGACCAACCAAACATTTTAAATGGCTTTTGGTTAATCCAGAGAATACTGATTAAGCAAAGCAAACTTACGTCGTTCATAAACCCAAATTTCTACTTACCATTTATGTTTATTGCTGGTAATACTATTGACATCTTTGGTCTTGAGGTCTTGTTGTGGGTTGTGGCCGGTAGCAGCAGGTGATCCTAAGAATAACAAACAACAACCTGTTATAACAACTGGCTTAGTCTTATAATAGGCCCAAGTCAGAGTTTCTAAGATGCCAACATTTCATTGGGATCATAAACAAAAATGACATTTTTTATTTTAACTTGGCTTAGAGGTAATTAACTACAAATCATCTTACGATTTACTGAGTGTCTATTATTACCAGGTGCTACGCAGTATTCTTGGAATACTCCCCGGTTCTGATAACATACATGTTGCGGTGTACTTTAAAGGGTACTGGCCAAGGAGTCCGAACAGAAGGATTGTAATTCTAGATCTGCCCCTAACAGCTGTATGATCTGGGTCTGTTTCCAACCCTGTAAAATGAGGAGGCTAGACTAGATAATATCACAAGATACTGAAATTATCTATCCAATACAGTCATTTTCACTTTTTTTTTTTTTTAAAGAGGAGGAACATTTCTGCCCTCCTCCCAATTCTGATCCCAAATTACTGGTATATAAAATAGACATTCTGTTTGCAGTTTGCAGTCAGGCCAGAGCCTGGATCTTTGTCTGCTTAGCCACCTCTTCTCCCTTTGAAGCAACCACAGCATTAGATTTTTTTTGGTAAGCAATAAGTATATACTAAAGAAGATGTATAGTTCTTGCCTTTAAAAAGCATATACTTCAATGGAAGAATTAAAAAATTATAAATGCACATCTAGCATAATTATAAAGTTCCAAACGTAACTATGCCAACATTTGATAATCTATCAATGACCCATGGCATCTGAGGTTTCTGGTTTCCAACCACACAAATACTGAAAGTAAGATGAGCCAAGAGGAGTCTGGCTTCAAAAAAAGGGGAGTATGTGTGTTTTGGAAAAGGTATGTATGACTGTAGGTATTCCAAAGCGGATTATAAATGACTTATGACTTTGTTATGAACTACTGTTTAAACATCAATAACTCCTTTTTCCTAGCAAAAACAGAGGAATTGTCACAGCAAAAAGAAAAAAGAAAGAAAACAACATACATTAGTGTTTCCACTTAAGGGAGCACGGTTAAATTGAGATAGAACTGAACCTGATATTAACCCCCCTCGCTTCATCACTCATTCAGCAAACTTGCTATAGGGAAGGACTCATTACAAGTAGGATTTAACACAGCTGAAGGTAATAAAAATTCAATGCAACTCAGTTCAAAGGCCAATGTGATTATGAAATGCAATTATCAGCAAAGTGAAAAAATCTAGAATGCAATAAACAAATTGAAATGAATATACATCAACAGACCTGAATAGAAAACATTTCCAGTAACTGTTTGTCCTTTGTTTAACTCAAGGCAGCATTTCTGTGAGAACAGATTTTTTTATTTTTAAAGTTGGGGGAAAGATGAGTGAAGTTGTTCTGTTAGAATTCCAGCACTGCAGCACGGGAGATTTTTTAAGTGCATTGTTAGACACAAAGATCACACATTTCTCAGTAAGATAACATAATATAGCCAAGAAAAAACAATATTTGCTGATCTTCATGCCATGAAAATTATAAATAGCTTAATTCCTATAATTAAAATACTGCTTCAGGGTCCCCAAAATTGAATGAGAAAACAAACCAACAAACTTGCAAGCCCCAAATTAAAGCTACTGTAAAAATAAACACACTTAGATTCCATTGGTCATGGGTTAAGGTCAGCCTCAGACTTAAATCCGAGTTTCCTGCTAAGGTCTAGATGCCATACTAAACATTGTTTTCAAGCATGATTTTCTGAACATAATGTCTTCTACTTTCTTTCTTCATTAATTTCAGACAGTTACTTTTGCAGGAGAAAGCCAAAAAACACATTATTATTTATGAAAAAGAAGAATCACATCTTGAATGCATAAAAATTATTACAGTTAACCAGCCCTACCTCTAATTATTAAAGTTTGCAAACTGTGAAGGGTGGGGGGCAGAGAGGAGACCTAGAATTTAAGGTGCTTGTTTGGGGTGCCTGGGTGGCTCGGTAGGTTGTGTCTGCCTTCGGCTCAGGTCACGATCCTGGTATTGAGTCCCGAATCGGGCTTCCCGCTCAGTGTGGAGTCTGCTCCTCCCTCTACCCCTCCCCCGCTGCTCGTGCTTGCTCGCTCTCACATAAATAAATAAATAAATCTTTAAAGTGCTTGTTTAGGGGTGCCTGGGTGGCTCAGTCGTTAAGCGTCTGCCTTCGGCTCAGCTCATGATCTCAGGATCCTGGGATCGAGCCCCACATCAGGCTCCCTGCTCTGCCGGAAGCCTGCTTCTCCCTCACCCACTCCCCCTGCTTATGTTCCCTCTCTCGCTGTGTCTCTCTCTGTCAAATAAATAAATAAAATCTTTAAAGTGCTTGTTTACCACAGAACTGCAGGGAATCAAAGCCGGTATACTAAAAATTCTAATAGTGCTTATCTTATATTAAAAAAAAAATTTATTCACACAAACATCTGGGAGAGTATAGTTGATTCATTTAACATTTACTTCAAATTAAATGCTCCTTGCAGTAACAGTGAATTCTGAATCACTTTTTTCTCCCCAACTGTGTTCATCTCACTCCTTTTTAGCATATCATTAAATTCTATTAGTGATGTTTTCAGAAACAAAGGAGTTTTATTTTGGCACTGTTGCTGAAATCTATGTCACCAATTTTAGGATATCTCCAAATGCACTCCTGAAAAGCCTCTATAGGACTGAAATACCATGGGATATCTTCAGGGAGGAAACTTTGTGGACAGACACTATCATCAACACATTGTTATTTTTATTCCCAGAAGAAGTCAGAGAAACACTGGTGGGAAAACACCAAAACATTTCACTGTGAGAATAAACAGTTTTCCCCAGTGTTATGCAATATCGTGCATGAGAAAATCTGCCATTTTCATACAATTCTCCTAATTCTTTTCCAAGCACTTTGTTAGAAGAAAACCAAAATATTAGTGCATAATGCAGCATCCAAAATTATGTCTCTTCTCTTTTTAAGAGGGCTAAAGCATTGGAGACTAACCTGTCAAAAGAACAGGACCACATTTTGCTCAGCTGAAGGTTGAAATGGTAATTCACACTAAAATTAAGGTCCTACTAGGTGTTGTCTAATGTTAATTCTATATATCCGTGTAGAGTGGAAACTGACCTCCAACTTAAACTGCTGAGTTTAAATGACCCTTCCCACTCCCCTCTAAAACTTACTGATACCCACAGCACAAGTGAACATTCATGACTATTTCTGGTTTTTTTTCCCCCCAAAAGTACTTTTGCTAATTGTATTTGTTAGGGTAATTGGGGGCGCCTGGGTGGCGCAGTCGGCTAAGCATCCAACCCTTGGTTTCAGCTCAGGTAGTGATCTCAGGCTCATGAGACTGAGCCCCACGATGGGCTCCAAGCTCAGTGCAGAGTCCGCTTGAGATTCTCTCTCCCTCTCTCTCTGCCCTCCAGCTCATGCTCTCTCCCAAATAAATAAATCTTTAAAAAAATATTAGGGAAATTGATAAAAAAAAGTGTGAAAAGGAGATTTAATAAAAGTGAATAGTTTAAAAAATTCACTCATTCCAAGACAACCATAAAAAACTGAGAAAAAAATCATACCAGTCTGCATTCAGATTGCTTAAAAAAATAGCTTTAAATTCTTAATCTAATTTAGAGTAAGAGTAACTGATACTAGAAATTATGGTTGATGCATTGTGAGTGTAGTTTGTATTGAAAGGCAACATGGAATTCTTCCAGATCTGGACTCAAAGAAAAGGTGTTGGCCCTACATCAAAACTTGGCAAGCAAGTCCACATTTATATAATTAAATGAAATAAATTTAAAATATACATATTATTTTGATGATCTCCTGCTTTAACCAATTTTGTTAATTCACAGATTTTCCAGTAGTCCCTATTATACTAGGTAAGACAGTTTCTCTTGTATTAGGAAACTCTGACCTAAGCTTGGGGCCCCATATCTTTGATAGAAAGGAATGTATTTAATATCTAATGATGTTTCCTGGGGAATGAGGGAAACAGTCTGCAACAGGCTGCACTCTGACAATGAGCAACTTTCATTTGGATCAACATGGGCCTCTATTCGTCAAATTTTGCATGTCAGGCCCATACTAACAACAATGACTTCTTAACATTTCATATTTGGTCCATATCCACTGGATTCCAGAGACAGGCTTGGTTTTTCAATATAAAACCGTTAAAACCAGATCAAAAATAAAAAGCATCTATCCTCATTTCAAAAATAGCTTTGCATTAATTTTTTTCTAATCTATGTTCCTATCCTGGGGAGCTCTCGTTTTCTATCACTTTACCTCATTTATCTCACCAAGTCTCTGGCAAGCTACCGAACTAAGTGAAGAACATATCAAAGCTTGGAAATAGGAGAGCCAAAGCAGCAATGAGAATCAGGCCTTCCACAGCTCTTTATCAAAGTCAAACATTCTGAATTTATGTTGTTTTCTAAGAGCCATATTAATTGCTGATCAAATGTGTCCAACATGAAAGCAACCGAAAAGCAAAGATAATTAAGAAATTTGAAACCATTAAAATACACAGATACGGGCGCCTGGGTGGCTCAGTTGGTTGGGCGACTGCCTTCGGCTCAGGTCATGATCCTGGAGTCCCGGGATCGAGTCCCGCATCGGGCTCCCTGCTC